AAAGCATACTTGGGTTTCAGACCATTTAGCCCCATTTTTGCCATGCTGTTACTAACACTATTATGAAGATCGCACCTTGTAGGGGAACTTTTGCCATACAAGGATGCCCAAAGCAGCTCACAACACAGCAATACGGAATCAAATTGTAGAAATCCTAAGAACTGACTTTCATGTAGCATGTTTTGCAGGCGCAGAGAGGTAGGCTGACATCAGGGCCGACCCAATACATTTTGCTGCCTGAGTCATAGAAGAGCCCCCCTTCCAATCTCACATGCAGAAGCCAACCAGGCCAAGGCACAATCTGCACTATACATTTAAAGCAGTATCATACCGATTTAAACACCTGTGTCTTCCTGCAAAGAATCATGGGAACTGTAGCCTGTTAAGGGTGTTGACAGTTGTTAGGAGAGCCTCTATTCCCCTCACAGAGCTACACTTTATTTATATACCTAATTCATACCCCACCCTTTTCTCCAAGGAGCTCAAAGTGGCATCAATGATTTCCCCCCTCCTCATTCAACCCCCCCCCCACAACAAACATTTGAGGTAAGCTAGGCTCAGGGGCAGAAGATCAAACTTATCCATTCTTAAGGAAATCAGCCCTGAGTGCTCACTGGAAGAACAGATCCTGAAGCTGAGGCTCCAATACTTTGGCCACCTCATGAGAAGAGAAAACTCCCTGGAAAAGACCCTGATGTTGGGAAAGATGGAGGGCACAAGGAGAAGGGGACAACAGAGGACGAGATGGTTGGGCAGTGTTCTCGAAGCTACCAACATGAGTTTGACAAAACTGCGGGAGGCAGTGGAAGACAGGAGTGCCTGGCGTGCTCTGGTCCATGGAGTCACGAAGAGTCGGACACGACTAAACGACTCAACAACAAGAAGGCTCAGAGGCAGTGAGTGACTGGCTCAAGGTCACCCAGTGAGTTTCATGGTTGAGAGGGGATTCGAACCCTGGTCTCCCAGGTCCCAGTCTGATGCATTAACCACTACGCCATGCTGGTTGAACAGTGTTGGGTGGTCAACCTTTCTTTCCAGGGAAATTTAGGAGCTGTGAGGAGAATAGGGGGCTTCTCGCAGCTCGCTTAACACTCTATAGTTCCCAGGATTCTTTGGGGGAAGCCATAACTGTTTAAAGTTTTATAATACAGTGGTACCTCGGGTTAAGAACTTAATTCATTCCGGAGGTCCGTTCTTAACCTGAAACTGTTCTTAACCTGAAGCACCACTTTAGCTAATGGGGCCTGCTGCTGCTGCCGCACCACCGGAGCATGATTTCTGTTCTCATCCTGAAGCAAAGTTCTTAACCCAAGGTACTATTTCTGGGTTAGCGGAGTCTGTAACCTGAAGCGTCTGTAACCTGAACCATATGTAACCCGAGGTACCACTGTAATGCTTTAAATTTACAGCAGAGATGGGGCCTGGTAACTGAATCTTACTTCAGTGCAAGTGATGGGATAGCATACTGCATGACAAGTGAAGGCAGCAGGTTAGCTTTAAGGAGCAGAGGGTCAACCACAACGGCAATATCTCCAATATTTCACTGCTTCTCCTTGCTTCCCAGCATCTGCTGCCTGAGGTGGCTGCCCCACTCCGACCAATAGTAGGGCTGTCCTTATTTGCCATCAATCCTTATCTCCAAAATTCAGATTATGTTAGTCTGTGGAGCCAAAATAAAATTGGTATTGTAGCACCCTAGAGATGGACAGTGCAATCTCAAGCATGTCTGAGCAGAAGTAACTCCCATTGTGCTCAATGGGGCCTCCTCCCCAGTCACTGTGTTTAGGATTGTGGCCAAAAGATGTTATTGCAACATAAGCCTTTGTTGACGACAGTCCACTCTGCCAAATACATGGAGCGTTCTCCTCAGTTAGCAATACACACGGCACAGAACCAGTTAGAGTGTCAGACGAGACGAGTTCAAATCCCACACTCAAGCCATGAAGCTCATTGGATGACCTTGGACCAATCACCACCCACTCTCAGCCTAACCTACCTCACAAGGTTGTTACAAGGGTAATATGAAGGGGGGGGAAGAACCATGTAAGCCAACTAGAGCTACCTGGGAGGAAAGGTAGGATATAAATGGAAGAATAAATAAATTAAATAGCCAAAACAACAGGAGTTTAAACAGTGAGTGGGTGGCATTCAACCAAGTTTTACCCAGTGGCATTAATCAAAATGACTCTGTTAGGTCCATTAACTCCAACTGGTCTACTCTGAGTGCAGCTTAGTTGTGCTTGGGTAGGGTTGCTCCTGTTCCTAGAGAGTCCCTTTTATGCCATAGCCTCTTGGCCATACTATTTACAAACACACACACATATACTGTATCCATGAATACAACGGCCAAAGCATTTCACAAAACAAGCCCTACACAGAAAACGTATGCCGCAATAAACCTGAAGTTTTGCTAGGGAGAAGCTATATAAATTAAAGCAGGTAAATAAATATGGGGAAAGCAAAATGTTACTTTGAAATATTTCCCTCAAAGGCTGAATTTATTTTATCCTGGATTGTTTTATTTGATGCTTTAATGTGTTGTAAAACGTTTTGAGATTAAAATATAAAGCCGTACAGAAATGAAATGAAAGATAATAATAATAAAACTCATTGAGGGGAAAAATGGTGCCTAGACATTCTGTTGTGACAAGTGTAACCTAGGTTTGAGGTACCATTTGGTGATTAGCTTATATATCTGAGTTTCTAACACTGCCTTTAAGATCCCACAAGACTCTTGGCTGTTCTCCCAAACGTGATCGAAACAGCCTGGGTATATTTGCTTAGGAAGAAGCCCCATTAAAATAAGCATTAAGACTTAGAGTAAACATACAAAAGACCAGGCTGCAAGCCAGTTCTTAGACCTGACCACTCCGTGGCTTCACATGTTGCCAAACAATGCCCCTGCCCATTTGCTTTCTGAATCGGGAGAGACGAAGAGAAGAAAACACTTAGGAGGCAGAGAGCCCCACGCAGGCTCACTCCAATCCAACCTGTCCCATTCTCTTACAATGCGAGGAGCTGGAGGGTAGGGGGTTGAGTTTTGCTTCCAGCCAGCCTTGTGTGACACACAATGGAAAACAATGCCAGGGCCACCAGCTTGTGCTTTCAGCTTCTCTGCAAATCCCCACCCCATGGGGCAGGTATGAGATACTTTGCTGGCAAGGCGCCTCCTTAATGTGATTTTTATTCACTCTCCTCAAGCCAATGGGGAGCTCGGGGTGATGGTGAGGTGAGGACAATGCCCTGCAGCCTGGAAGCAAAAAGCAATGCAATTTGCTAGAGGCTTATTCATCAGCAAACAGTTTACTGCAAGTCTGCATTCTCCGCAGCAGGAGAAAAGGGGAAGAAAAGCAAGCTTTGCACAGAACAACACTCGGTGGATCTGCTTCCTCATCTCTCCCATCAAACATCCATCACAAAAAAACATAGGCGGAAGCCAAGGAAGTTGTGAGGTTTATGTCTCTCCTCTGATATAGGAACGGTGATAAAAAAAGCTCTATATAAACCTGGCTTCTTACACAGGGAAAAAAGAAGGTTGTGCTGGCTCGATTGCCATGTTGTCAAACACACCGCCTCTTACACGACTGAACACACACATTCCAAGAAGGATGCATTGTATATCCACACAGCATTCCTCCCTCCCTAGTGCTTTCTCTCTGCACAAGTTCAAAGAATGCTTAATGCCTTACAGAACACTTTAAATTAATACCTGTTGTTATTGTGTTATGCAACTAACCCCCTGTATTAGGTAAGTGATCTACATGTGTGGGGAGGGGGGGAAGCAGGGCAAATTATGATAGTAAAAAAAAACATAATAAAACCTCACAGAATGTTGTGATTTGGTTCCTGACTCCCTCACACCCGGGGAACAATCCTTCCACAGATAGACACAGTTTCAGCACAAGAATGACTCTCCTGTCCACACAGATATTAAAACATGGTCACCTTAATTCTGTGTTATTGTTGTTGTTTTTAATATTGAGGATCTGAAGCATGGAACAAGTGGGAAAGCATACAATCCCACCGTAGATTCCAAAACATTGCACCCCCTCCCTCCCTGAAGCCCATTTCCCCGTGTTTCCATTTCACAAAGCAAAACAAAGATGACTTTGCCAGAATTGACTATCCCATCCACAACCGTCTTTCCATTCCTGCAAGCCAGGTTCTTTTGCAATGTCTACCCGCTCATCCCAGACCTCTACAGCCCCCAAATTTTCGCCTTGATTTCTGGTACTGCCACTGTCCATCCGGAAAGGCGGTGGCGGCAGGGTTTGGGTTGTTGTTTTTCTCTTGCCATCAACTTATCACCAGCCTCTGCTGGGATCCTACGGAACTCAGGCAGTCAGAGAAGTATCAGCAACAAAAGCTGAAGTTGTTGCAACAATTTTGTCTCTCCCTCCCTCTCTTTGCCTCCCTGGGAGTCTGAAGCACCAAGAAACAGCAGGACCCCACTTCACAGCTCCATGGGGAAGCCAGGATAAAAAGAGAAAGTGGTTGGCAGGAGCCGGCAGAGCCAGCCCAGTGTTCCTACTCCAAATCTATTCCGTGTCAGTTGAAAAGTCTCCCTACTTGATCTAGCCAGACTCAGGCTTGGGTGGCTCGGTCAGGAGGGAGGAAATGGACTCCTGTACCTTTAAGAGTGGGGGATTTCAGCAGGTATAGCTTTTCTCCCAGCCCCATACCTGCCAAAATCCTCTATCCAAAATAAACATCTATAAGAGGCAAAGGGTCCCTTCATAAATACCTCTGTCCCCCTCTCCTCCCCAACCCGGGGCCCTGGCCTTCCCACACGGGTTTTCCTTGACATTGTCCTTTTCCAACCTCTCCCAAATTTCTCTCCCCTACTTTATAAATGCGGTCTGGGGTGGGTGGGTGGGTGGAAGGAAGGAAGGAGGGAGCACTCCTTAGGAAAGCAAACCAAGCCTCGTCCAAGCCAACTGTGGCGGTTGGGGCTATTTACGCATTTGGATTTGCAGGATCCCGGATTCTCTCTTTCTTACCTCGAAGTTGTCTTGTGGCGGAGTTGGGGAGGGATGATCGGCGCCTGCTTCTCCCCCCTCCCCTCCCCTCAATGTCCCCTTCACGTCAGGGTCTTCTGCCGCGGCTCTTGCAGCCGGGACCTTGCAAGGAGGAGGAGGAGGAAGAAGGAAGAGAGGAGGGAAAGCGGAGCGAACGGGAAGCAACCCCCCCCCCCCCGAGCAAGCGTCGGTTTGCAATCCAATAAAAAAAGGCAAAGCAAGAAAAGGCCAGCGCTCCTCCGGCATTGGAGAGGGGGCGCAACTGCAATGGTCAACCCCCGTAGTTGCAAACTAGCGACGCAAAACGCACACTGCGGGCGGCTCGGGACGTTTCTGCTGCTGCTGCTGCTGTTGGGGGTCGCTCCCTCCTGGATGTTTCTTTCTCTGCACCCCCCGCCTCCTGGGTCTGTGGGTGTGCCGCTCCCCAACAGCCTGGAGACGTCAGGACCCTCGTTTGAGCCCGGAAGAAGGAGCAAGACGGAGGCTGCTCTGCACAGTCTCCTTTGCGCGCAAGCCAGCAAGCACGCACATGCACGCTCCTTCCTTCCTTCCTTCATTCATTCATCCTCTCTCTCTTTCTCTCCGGGGCCTTTTCTCCCGTCTCCAAAGCTCCCCCTGCAAGAGTGGCTCGTAAATCATTGGCCAAGAAGCCCCACAGGATCGGGGAGGGGGGCAGGCAAAAGCCCAGGCTCTGGAGCCGCTGCAAACTCCCCAGGGCGCACAAGGCGATGTTCAGCGCGTTTACTCCCATGGTGCTACTCCGGGAAGCGGTACTTTGTGGGGTCAGGGGCCCACGCAGCAGAAAGCTACCCCTAAAAACGTGGTGGTAGGGCTGAGGAAAGACATGAACATTCCCATCTGTAAGAACATCAGAAGAGCGTCGCTGGATCAGGCCAATGGCCCATCTAGTCCAGTCCAGCGTCCTGTTCCCACAGTGGCCACCCAGATATCTGTGGGAAACCCACGAGCAGTATTAAAACACAAGAGCACTCTGCCCTCTGGTGATTTCCGGCAACTGTGGACTCGGAGGCAGAATATAGCTGTCCTGGCCCTCAATAGCTGTCTCTTCCATGAATTTGTCTATTCCTCTTTTAAAACGATCCAGGTTGATAGCCATCACTATCACATGTGAGAGGAGTTCCATAGTTTAACTAGGCAAAAGTAGTTTTGGCTGTTCTGAATCTTCCAACATTCAGCAGACCCCCTTCCCCATTAAACTAGGATGGAATGAAAATTGCCTAACTGCACCACAGTATTTATTCATCAATAAATCTTGGTTTCCTTGGATTTGCTGGCTTTTCGATATTTATTTTGTTGCAAGCATATTCTCTCTCAGTCTCTGTCTCGCTCTACCCCATTTGCAATTGGTGCTGCTGGTGGGGAAATCATCCTGGGTTTTAGAATTTAATCAATGCTTGGAGTGTTAAAACTGGATGCCAGGCTCGTGTGTATTAAGCCAGACCCTTGTGTTCTAAGCTGTGTGCTAGACAATGCTAACCGCCTGGAATCAGCAGATGTTAATAGCTAACTTCCTCATAAGGTGATAGCCTAGGAGAATGTGCCATTAGGAAAACAAAGGATTAAGGTCCAGCTTGCAGGCTCCCCTGAAGAGGCATCTGATTGGCCACTGTGAGAACAGGATGCTGGACTTGGTGGGCCTTTGGCCTGATCCAGTAGGGCATTTCTTACTTTCTTACAGTATTGCAGCTGCCCCATCCTCTCTCTGTCACTGCCTGTCACTTCCTCTGCAGAATTAAATTGCCAATGCACTTGATGTATGATATGGCTTGCTTGGAGGTCGTCCAAAACCTGTATGCTGTGCTCTTATTTGATGCATTTTAAATGACAATGTGCAGCTTTACAGCTGATTCCTACTATCAGGGATGATACAAAAGGAAGGCTTGGGATGTTTTTATTCTAGGGCAGTGGTGAGGCTGAGGAGGTACATGTGATGGACATCAATTAGTGCTGGATAGGAGACCACCGGACGCTGTCTTTAAGTTTATATAGGCTTTAAAAAATGAGTTTTTAAAAAAGCTTTTAAAACTATCCAGTGCTCATATGGTGGGATCGAATGCTAGAAAGCCATGAACATCACCTTCTGTTTCCACCCCAATTTTAGTCAAATTGTGGCCTTGTGTAGCTTTCAGGAAACAACAACAACCCAACAGCTGAGAGAGGCCATCACAAAGGTTAATGGCGTCTGGGGGAACTTGCATTGGATAGAACCCTTAGAGAGATAGAGAGAGAGATTGGGAAAAAGTTTACTTTGGGGGGAAATTAAAATAAAAGAGTTTCCATAGTATGTGGACTAAAGGAAAGTCTTGCGGAACTACAGGGGAGGATCGTTTTCAAGTCAGGCAGTGGCTCATATCTTGCTTGAACGATTCTGGGCGGCTTCCAACTAATACAAACATAATAAAACATTAAACATTTAAATCTTCCCTGATACGGGGCCGCCTTCAGATGTCTTCTGAAAGGTTGTATATTACTTATCTCCTTGGCTCGGGGGTCACATAACTCCTACCCTCCAACTTTCTCCAATGAAATAGGGCCGTCCTAAGGAAAAAGCAGGACTTCCAGGATCAAATCAGGAAACCGGGAGTGGTTCTGTAAATCCGGGGCTGTCCCTGGAAAATAGGGACACTTGGAGGGCCTGCAGTCTCAGTGACGATTGTATTTTGTGGGGTTAGAATTAGCAAAAAGTTAATGGATCAGGACATGGGTTGGTGAATATCTTACGCCTCCTCGTGAGCGAATAGGGGAGAGCGTGCTGCGCCTATTAATCAGCTCCAAAGGAAATTGGGTGGAGCTTTTGCTCGGGAGGGAGGGCAGGAGGCATGCAGCCCGACCCTCCTTGTGCATTTTGGGCTGGGGGAGGGGCGGCGATGGCGCTCTGCTGGAGGGGCGCCGGAGATTATTGGGGGGGCAGAGCCCCCCCAAACGAATTTTTGAGGGGGCTCGGGCCCCCTCAAGCCCCATGGAGTCGGCGCCTATGGACATGGTTGGTGAATATCTTAGTAGTCCTCCTGGCTAAATAGATGCCAAATGGCACCCGTTTATTGGAGAGAATGGTGGATTGCTCTCAACTGCTGGCCCATGATGACTAAGGAAATAGTTGGGGAGTCTCCTGAGAGCCATTTTGGAATCAGGGCATGACTCTTCCCACATCCCAGCTAAGGATGATGTAACCCAGGTGTCTGTGTGAAAAGAAACAGCAGGTTTTTGGGGGGTGGACACAAACAGAATGAGTTGTGCTTGGGCTCTATAAGCAATAAACACACAAGACATAACCGGCTGTACTTCTGAATAAATAAGGTATACTATTCATTGTATCAAACTGTAGATTTCAACGGAAGTCTCATGAAGTTCAACAAAAAAAGCAGAAGACCCAGTGGATCAGTTCATTCTATATTCCATTCATGCATAAGGTCCATACGTGTATAAGTGTCTATTCCACCTGTCTGTTCACAGAGTCCAATAATCCACATGAAGGGTTGTTACAGTTCCACAAAATCCTTTCACAGAGTCTAAGACAAGGATTTCCGGAATAATAGCCGTGTTCCGCCATCCTAGGCTTCATCAGTAGAACAGGCTCATATGTAATGTTACAGGATAGTGGATCTTACAGCATAGTAGTTGTTGCAGTGGTTGTATTGTTGTTGTGTTGTGTTGTTTTGTTGGGCTCTATAAGCAGCACCATTGAGTAAAGTCTGTCTCCCTGGAGCAGCTTTCCCCAACTTGATGCTCTCCAGAAGTGTTGGATAACAGCTCACATCAGCCCCAGGCAGCATGGCCAATGGTCAGGAAGGATGAGAGTTGTAGTCCACTGTAAGAACATAAGAAGAGTTTGCTAGATCAGGCCAGTGGACCATCTTGTTCAGCAACCTGTTCTCACAGTGGTCAACCAGATGACTGTGGGAAACCTAGAAGCAGGACGTGAGCACAAGAGCGCTTCCTCCTCTCCCCTGGTTTCCAGGAACTGGTATTCAGTAGCATTGCTTCCAATGGTGGAGACCCAGCATAATCGTTATGGCTAGCAGCCACCAACAGCCCTCCACGAATTTGTCAAATCCTCTTCTAAAGCCATCTCGGCTGGTGGTGGCCATCGCTGCCTCCCAAGGGAGCGGCATCTGAAGGAAATATCAGGCTGGGGAAGGCTGATGCAAAAGCAGCAGACATCAACTGCTTGTTCGGACGTTTAATGCAGTCTTTCCCAAAGCATTTTGCTACAGGATGGCACCCCTTTGCCATCCCATGGACAGAAGCCAGCCAGCCTGGTGGTAGGATTGTGCTTCAGCCCTGGTGATGGGATCCTTGACAGGCTGCTTTAGGGAGCCCAGGGCAGGCTACGCAGCATGTACATTTCTGTCCTCCAACAGAAAGGAATCGATGGGAAGGAGAGCTAGGAGGCTGCCACTGCTGCCCTCCAGCATCTGCTGCCTGAGGCAGTTGCCTCACTTTGCCTAATGGTAGAGTAGGTCCGGCTAGTGATCAGCAGATGTTTTGGGATATGACTACCATTGGCTCTAGGGACGTGGGTGGCGCTGTGGGTTAAACCACAGAGCCTAGGACTTGCCAATCAGAAGGTTGGCGGTTCGAATCCCCGTGACGGGGTGAGCTCCCGTTGCTCAGTCCCTGCTCCTGCCACCCTAGCAGTTCGAAAGCACATCAAAGTGCAAGTACATAAATAGGTACCGCTCCGGCGGGAAGGTAAACAGTGTTTCCGTGCGCTGCTCTGGTTTGCCAGAAGCGGCTTAGTCATGCTGGCCACATGACCCGGAAGCTGTACACCGGCTCCCTCGGCCAGTAAAGCGAGATGAGCGCCACAACCCCAGAGTCGGCCATGACTGGACCTAATGGTCAGAGGCCCCTTTACCTTTACCATTGGCTCTAGCCAAACAGCTGGGAGGGGTAGATGGAAGTTCTGGAGGATTCTAGTTTGGAGAAGGCTGGTTTAAGCTGTGCCTCCACCTACGCTCCACCTATATATTTGGTCCCATCCACACCATAAATTTATAGCACATCAATGTCACATTAACAGTCATGGTTTCCCCCAAAGAATTCTGGGACCTGTAGTTTACCTCTCACAAAGCTGCAATCCCCAGCACTCTTAAGCTATGGTTGCCAGGAATCTTTTGGGGACGCCATGTGCTTTAAAGGTATGGGTGGATATGACCTTTGTAAGTAAATTCAGTTGTCATAAAATGCCGGTAAGCTTCCAGCGACCTTCCAAAGGAAACCAAAATTGTGTGGCATCCTCTGGAATTTCTCACTGCTCAGTGAAAGGGGATTAGGGTAGCAGTGCTGTGGAAATTCTTTTTTTGACGTGTCATGCGAAGGCGCAGGAAAACGCCACTCAAAGAATGTTGATGCAATCTTGATGCATAAGGATTGTGTGTGGGGAATGTTGTTGTGTTGTTTCCCCCCCCCAAAGCAGATGTACAATCAGCGATTGCTTCAAAGACTCCATGTGTTAAAAGCACATTTAAAATACCATATTTTTTGCTCCATAAGATGCACCTGACCATAAGGCGCACCTAGTTTTTAGAT